CATTAAGCATCCTCTTGCTGGTTTAAATTATGCCCCTACAGTATCTTTCAACACACTCAGAATACATATGCTTTGACCATATGGAAGAGTCGTTCAAAATATTGCCTGCACATGTGAATTCTAATCATGCAAATGAGCTAGCTTAAATAGAGTTAAACTAAAGTATTCAATTGAAGTTTGGGTTCAATATTGAGCAGTGACTGTGTTATATTAGACACAATCCTTACATGAATGAAAACTGTGATTCTGTAGCTCTGTCTGTATTGCTGGGGATTTGCAGCATGGCAGGCGTATTATATCATCCATCCGCTCTTCACCCCACCAAGTAAGTGCTCATTAAGTCACACATTACATTAGTCTGTGAGCCTCATAATAACATCTGATTTTAACTTCTGTTTCTCTAGCCTATGGGAGACTTCAAATCTACTCTGCACTGGCAATGTTTTTGGTATGTATGTCAAAATCTGTAATATTAATTATTTAGTATTATATTAAATATTATTAAATATTTAAAGCTTCATTAAGTAGGCCTAGGCTACTGTAACATCTTTGATTAAAAAAAGGTCCATCTTCCAAACCATACCTTTACCCAAATTGGATTAACTTGTAATGATAATTCATATTTTAATGATGTTGAGACGGATTTGCAAAAAACTGCTTACATACATACATTTGCCCATGTGTGTTATGTCATATCGGTACAGTGAGAAATTAACGGTGGATCTGAAATTGTATACTGTCTGAATAGATACTACATTTAAATTTGAACTTACTTCACCACCATTAAAAAAGTATGTTCCTTGTAGTATGAATACAGGTATGAATAAAATTTGGATGTAGGCTACTACATCCGCAATGTTGATATGATCATGTGACCTACAGTGTTGCATCGCTTAACTGGCTTACGCTGGTAACTCATCCCAGTCATCAGTGGAATTTCCTCCTCAATATAGGCTATATTTTTTCACACTTTTCTCATTCTCACTAATTCAAGTTTTTACATGAATGAATCTCTGAAGGGAACAGACAATATATAGTGATATTCTCAACGTTACTCAGAAGACAGGATACAGGTTTAACTCATTTGAAATACTAATGCTTAATGTTACACTGTCAGATATGCAAAAGAAATCTATCGTATCTCTTGCTCTGGCTGCTGTGTATAGACCACCAGGGCCATATACAAGATTTCCTAAAAGAATTTGCAGATTTCCTCTCAGACCTAACTGCTTTGTTTACAGTCATTGCCGGGGAAACCACTATATATTTCTGATGTTCCAAAAGCGCTTCCTACTGGCAGAGAATCAATGTACATTTTCAATAATCCCGTCTGTAGTTTTTGTTCAGACCAAGGCGAAAATCCACCATCTTAACCCTGTTTTAAATGAATATCATAATTTATACTTCCGACTCTCTTTTCTTAAAAAATGGTTTAAAGGCTCAATTGTGAGGTTTATTATTTTATAATTTATTTAGTTTTTGTGAAAACTGTAAATCAATTGCTATTTCGTGGTCTACAACATGAAAGAAAGCCATTATAACATGTACATGAAAAATGTAGAAACATTGGACACAACTGTGGGGCACCATCACAACAAAAAAGGAACCTCAAGGCTAAATTTGTAAATGTGTGCACATACATAGGGCCCCATTCATATACTGTATTTTGCCTGGGGCCCCCAAATCACTAAATCTGCCCCTGACCAATCATTTAATACCCTTGGACAGTCAGGCCAATAAGAAACTTTTAATGCTTCATTTTTATTATACAAATGTGTCATGACAAATGTCTACACATTTATAAAACTGATCTAAGATCAGGTAAAGGTTCATGGGTTCACAATGGTGAATCACTGAAATTTCACAGCATTTCTAAACAATGATTTAACTAAGACAAAATCTCGTGGCTTTGGAAGTTTATATATGAACTTTGAATCAGAGGTTTGCGGGGACAAAAATGGTTTGCAAAAGTTTTGACGCACACGGGGTGTTTCGAAAGTGCCCATCAGTAGCAGAAAGTTTATTGTGACAACAAACAAGAAAAAAACTTATTTGTGTGATCATCCACTCTGATAAGATGTCAATAATCCATGTTCACAGTGGTTCAATGAACAGTAATATTGTTATTCCGCATTATTTTATTTTTTAACCGATAGAGGACCAGATGTTACATAGTGTAGCTTTCATTTTACATAGCTGTTTTTCTTCATCATCTCTTTGTTCATTTTATTCAGGTCTGTGAATTTGGAAATTTCTCAGTTCATCTGATTTTGAATCGAATCAGCTGTAATGGTGAGTCCTAATAAAGATTCATCTCTGTAGTTGTGTGGGCGTAAACATGACCGATCAAGACAGACAATGAAACCTAGTGATGGTGATTAATTACCATTTCTTTGTTCCTTACATAAAGGACTGTGTGGGAGTCCTTTAAAATTATCGAAGTAAAATTATCTGTCACATTAATACCTTCTTCAGAGACTATGCATTCTCCTGACAGAATCCTTAGCTCTTAGCTATATTAGATATTTTTATTACCACATAACCGTATGCTCTTCTCAACACATCGACAGGGTCCAGGCCTACAGAGATTCCTTATCCCACAAATAATCCATTCACGTGGCTTTTTTCTTCGTGTCCTGCCCAAACTACACATATGAGGTTTGTGAAGTTTACAAAATAACCTTGTTTCATGTCAAAAAAAGCAGTAAATGAGACATTTGGAATGTCTGAGGTTGTGTCCACACCTGTGGAGAGCACATGTATCTCAGCATGTGAAACGTTTCTGGATGAAGTATCCCTGCGATTTGTGTTTTGTGTAGTGATGTCAAATTGGAAATCTGTGTTTGTTTCCAGGTGGGATCATGGATCAGCTTCACAGTCATGACACAGTGTGTTCCAGGTAGACAGTATTCCATCACACACCGTCCTCAGCACACTACAGTAAAGTGTCCAAGGCTGCATCTGAAATCACATACTTTCCTAGGGCCTACTGTATAGTAAGCGAAAAACAGCAGCACTTGTTTTGTTTGTTTTACAGAGATCTTGCCTTAACAGGCCAATAAGAGAGTAACTATTCTTCCTTTTAACCCTTGTGCGTCAATTAAAAAAAGTTACACATAGGTCCATAGTGGACAAAAATGTCCATGTCAAAAAACTGTCATAAAAATTTGAAGCTTGGGAGCACAGACTAAGGTTTGGTCTCATTTTAAAGAAGACCCATGGCAGATTATTGTTGAAGTAAAAAAAAGTTTAAAAAGTGATACCAAAAAAAAGTTATAGAGGTTTAAGTCTATGAAAATGAGTTATGAACAATATTTTATATAAAATATATATATTTTATGAAACATGTTGAACTCTAAACCTGCTAGAAATTCAAAGCCATAAATCTAAACAAGTTGTGTTCCAAATTTGAGGTTGATATCTCAAAAAATGAGCTTTCAGTAAGATTTTGTTTGGGCGCAGTACCAAATTATCCCCATTAGATGCCAGCAAAATTCCGCAGGTGCACACAGTGGTTGGATTTGTGATTTGCAGTACAGTAGAGTTTTTCTCTCTCAAATATTACAAGCACACACACACACATTTTTTTTATGACACACATACAAACCACACTCTGACATCCATACCAAAACACCAACAATTTTAGCTGCATTATTTATCCAGTTGGCTCTATAATACGCAGAAGCAGAAAACAGGAATAAAGCGAGTATTTGCTTTACAGGCCAAACCTGAAAAAAATCTGCCAACAGAATGAAAGCCTACAAAAATTGCATCATTTTACAGTTAAATGGCACAGCGATTAAAAATAGCAGTTTTAATGGGTTTCAATGGGGACATTTTTGTCCTTAAGATCCTGAGAGGAACTATTTTGTGAAGCTAGTGCAAAGAGATTTATTTAAGGAAATGAGGGTGAAATAGTAAAATTCCAATAAAAATACACACCTGTGCCAAAATGTATGCAGTTGGCAATAACACAGGTAAAATTATAAAAAAAAAAATAAAAAAAACTGAAAAGGACAAAAATGTCCAAAAGGTCGCACAAGGGTTTTAAATACACAACTGACTTATTAAAAATGGAATGAATTGGAAAAAACTGATCCGATGTCAGGTAAAAACCTCAATGAACCTGCATGATTCACGGGTTCACAAAGACAAACCCAGCTATTGGGTTGTATTTAACCCAGCATTTTTTTTAGAGTGTAGTAATTACATTAATTATGAAGAGAGGCTTACTGAGAACAGACTGAGGTTGTACTGCAAGTTTGAGGAAGATATACTAACAGAAACGTTTTGCAAAAAGAGGTGTTTTAGCGGAAGGTGTATTATTTTGCTAAATTATACAGACCACCAAGAAGAAAACATGGTGTAGAGTGTGATACTGTTTTATTGATGTTGATTGTTCATTTTTGTATTCCATAAAAACATTTTGCAGAACATATCTGAGTGTTTGTGTCATAAATAAAATGTTACTGAAGATTTTATTTCCCAGAAATAAGTGATCATCAGTTTCCAAATGTCAGTATCTTCAAGACATGGTAAAATAACAATCTTATAGAATAGTGTTTTAATGTATTAATGTATTCATCAGTAAATAGATTTAATATGCAATAATGCAGTTTATAATGACAATTGAACCTCTTCATTCCCCAAAACAGAAACATAGTTTTACTGATTTTCACTGTCTACACCATGAGGACAAGGTTTACCTGGTTCACATGGTCAAGTTAGTCTGTTGATAAATGCCATAATTACTTCATCACTGTGTATTTACTGCATGCAAAAAATACCTAAAAAAAACACCTGCAAGCCAAGCATAATGCTACAAAGTGAGCGCCAGCCAGCTGACCCTGAGAAAGAGTAATAATAAAAAGTAACTTTGATGGAATAATTTGAAATAATTTGATGGAATAATTTAGCATTTGAAAGATTTGAACAACAAAAAAAAACTGCAACTGCAAGAAAGAAAAACACTAATATTTACAAATGTATAAATATAATAAATACAATTTAAATAGCATGGAAACCAAAAAGTAATTTTGTGTGTGGAAATTCTATATTTATAAGCATTTTATACAACTACTTTAAAAGGATAGTTCACACAAAAATCATTTACTCACACTCATGCCTTTTCAAGCCTATTTCTGCCCAAAATAATATATTGTGAAAAATGTTAGTAACCAAACAGTTTTGGTTCCATTTGACTTCCATTGTATTTTTATTCATATAATGGAAGTCAGTGTGAACCAAAACTGTTTGTTTACTAACATTATTCACAATATCGTATGTTCCAAAGCAAGATGCTCAAAAAAAACAAAACTGAATTTTCATTTTTGAGTAGACTATTACTTTAATCTGTGGAGGTTTTTTTCTTTCAGTGGGTGGAGATTGACCTTTGGCTCAGAGTGCTGTAGACTGAGGGCAGATGTTAAAAAATGTTATATATTATGAAAAAAAAATCTATGACATTTGTACAACTTCAAATAGGTTTTGTGTATAAATACATAAATAAAAGGCTTTAGGAACTTCATAAACAACATGGTGTAATGTGTCGTCAGCCATGAGTCCTTTTGAAGCATTAGAGTTCATCTTAACTGTTTTTCATCGCAACTCTTCGTAGCGGTGAGACCTTTGTGTCTCGCCTCGGCACTGATGCTCTGAGCTGAGCAACATCTTCTCCTGACTGCTGCTTGGCAAAACTCACAAACACCTGTAAGGCAGCAAAACAGATGAGCTGTTAGTCCTGTCAGTCACATCTGCTGAGCAAATCGAATTCAATCTCAGCAACTAATAATTCATTTCTAACGGAAGGTCCCTAGAGCACAGCATGTCGATTTTACAGCATCAAGCTATTTTTCTTGTCTGCAGTAAAAGTGAAATGCTAAAATAACTTAAAGTCTTAACATGCTGCTGACAGCTGGTATGGACTGACGTGAAAGAGATTTGTTGCTTGAAGCTTTACACATCGCAGCTGGTAATGACTCGATGATGAAGTTACCTGGTCTAATGTGGTCTGAGACACAGAGTAGTCCTCAATGTTCAGTCTCTCCTTGTTGGTCAACACCAGCTGGAAGACTCGCGCCAGTGAGGCAGCGGCGATTTCATATTGTAAAGTGTTGTAGTGTTTCTCTCGTTGTAGACATCCTGGGAAGCTGCTTTCCATAAAGGACTCGGCCGGGATCAGGTCAGGAGGCATGCCTGCTTTTTCAGCTTTGATCTTCATCGTGACTACATAGCCACCTCCAAACCTGTCCACAAGCACAATCAATATGCACAATACATGTAAAACTAAGCATGCGCTTGTATTGTTGACCATTTCACGGATTAACGTTGTTTTGCATATCACCTTTCAAGGTTAAGAATTTAAGGCTGGAAAAACAATTTAGTTGATTTGTGATAATATGGAAATGACATACTTGACTTAAAATTGTAAGACTTTCCAAAAGAACATACTCACTTGTATTTCAGATGCTGGATTGTGCCCAGACACTTAAATGTCCCGTTGACCATGATGGCCAAGCGAGTACAAAGAGCTTCACACTCTTCCATACTGTAAATGCAAAAAAAAACAAAACATTTTTTTATTTATTTAAATTATTTTACTTAAATAATAATGATTAATTATTTAAAATAAATAATTATTTATTTTAAAAAAATCATTTTAGCATCAGCTTGAGATATAAGTCCCCATGAAATCAAAATTAAAGTTTTTTGGGTGTTAGTATCAATATGTTAGTCTTAAGGTTATCTATAAGGCAGTGTGCTCCAAAACAGTGACAAAATTCGCATTTAGAAGATATAAGCATTCAAAGCTTGCAGTTAGTCACTTCCGCCAAAACGGCTCAACGATTTTTTTGACTGCTTGATATGTCCCGCCCTGTCTTCCTGTTTCAGTTAAAATGACGTTAACACAGAGTAACGCTGTGTGTTTCTAAGCATTTCAGGGGACATTTAAGTCACTAAGCAACAAATTATGAATGTTATAGCATTCACACAGGGGTTCCCAAACTTTTTTGTCAGCCAAACCACTTAGACATAAAATATATTACGTGACGTACCCCCTGAGATTTTAAGTTAATATTTCAATAATTTAACAACACATTTGCATGATGTTTACAGTTCTCTTGTGTTGGTTAATGGTCACATGACATGCAAGTAAACAAAATAATATTTTTAGTAAGTGTTTTATTTAGATATTTGAAAATTATTTTTAAAATATTTTCGGGCTGCACGACTATGCCAAAAAAGTATAATGTGTGATTATTTGGTGATTGCGAATTTGAACTGTGATATGACATTTGATATGTAAATGTCTCACATTGCAACTGATTTACTTTTATTTACTATGAACCAAGCCACTCTAAAAACACTACATTACAAGCCGTGTGCATGTAAATAAACATTCTGACGCTCTACTAATTTTTATATAGCAACCTTTTATTCGAAAATTGTTATTTAAAGGGGTCATATGATGCTGCTAAAAAGAACATTATCACTATTTCAGTTTTATTTTGATTAATTGTGCAGTCCCATTTGTGGATTTTAATGTTAAAATGTTAATGTTTCATCAATTGTTTCATTCAAAAACACCAAATGGTCCGTAAACCCTGTTTGGGAAACCCAGCGTTAATTTTAAATTCTTGCCTGTGAGACGTCAAAACGACTGCCCTCCCATCACGGATGATACTCAGAATGGCGGTCCACAGGAAGCGACGGGAGTGAGGGTCCATTCCTGTGGTGGGCTCATCCTATATCCATTTAGGGAGTTAAATTACACCAATGTTTTTGTTTTGCACGATGACACTGAGAACGCTTAGGAAAAACATACCAGGAGCACTAGAGGAGGACAGCCAATCATAGCAATAGCAGTAGACAGTTTCCTCTTGTTGCCCCCGCTGTAGGTACCAGCACAGTTTCCTGCATATTCAGACAGACCCAGCTTCTGAATCCCCCACTCGGCCACCTACAGAAAACATACAATCAGTACACAATAATAAAGACTGTAACAGAATGCTTATCATGGAATTAACCTAAGGTTGTGTACTATTGTCTGACGTGTGTTGTGGTGGAACTTTTTTGTTGAAGAGTGAATTGTTGTTGTTTTTTTTAATGGAATTGTTATAAGGTTTATTAGGATTTTATGCTCTCAAAATAATATGCTTATGTTGTAACCTGAAATGACAGTATGTCCTGAGCATGCTTATGCTTCTAGGAAGGTCAAGGATACTTTTAAATAACGGGCCTCAGAAACAACTGGAATGAGTATGTTTTATAATTCCAGTTGCCATGCTAAGGCCATGCACCAACTGTATGCTTATCATCACAAGATTAAACAGACTCTAAATGGACTCTAAAGTGATTAAACTGGGAAAACTGTCAGCTGCAAGCAAGGCCGGTATGAGTGTAACCTGTGGAACACTGTAAAGCATGTGCAAGCCTTATGCAACTTGGTTATTTTAAACATGATCATCAAGGTATAAAAGTGTGTGTATTTTTCTTGTCAGGGAGTTGCTCTGATGTGTCTGAAGCAACTCCCTGCCTGCTGCTAATAAATCTTATTACTGAAAAAAAAATAACTTGGTGCTTGATGCTGCACAGCTAAGGAATCTAGCACACACTTTGGAAGTGGTAAGGCAATGATAGTGTCTTCTTGGATGGGACGCAGTCCCCCGTGTAGTTAGAATACACCATAGGCAACCTATAAAGGAATAATTCACCCAGAATTGAAAATGTACTTAATTCAAAATGTAGATGAGTTTGTTTCTTTATCAGAACCAATTTGGAGAAATTTAGCATTACATCACTTGCTCACCACTGGCATAGTTAGGGCCTTGGTGCATATTGTTGCTTTTGGTCCCCCTCGGTGGAAATCGTGGTCTGAGATGATGGTGTGGAGTGTGTTAATGGGTGCCGTCAGAATGAGAGTCCAAATAGCTGATAAAAACATCACAATAATTGACAAGTAATCCACACAACTTCAGTCCATCAATATTTGTCTTGTGAAGTGACAGTGAAGTGATAGTGAAGCTGTGTAAACAAGATTTTGATGTGAGCGGACAACACGGGATGGACTTTATCAATGGAGGAAGCATTATTATTATAGTTTATAGACTCATATTTTGGCTAGGTTTAAGTGATGATTTAAAGTTAAAATGATGGATGTTTCTTATAAACACACAGCTTTTCAGTTCCCAACACATAACTTGATGGACTGGAGTCGTGTGGATTACTTGTGGATTCTTGTGATTGTTTATAAGCTGTTTGGACTCTCAATTCGACGGCACCCATTCACTGCGGAGGATGAGCGAGTGATGTAATGCAAATGTCTCCAAATCTGTTCTGATGAAGAGACAAACTCCTCTACATCTTGGATGACCTGAGGTGAGTCCGTTTTCATCAAACTTTCATTTTAGAGTGAACTATTCCTTTAAGTCAGATTGAAAATTGATTTGACCAAGGTGAATGAGGTGTTTGGCTGTGAGACTTACTCTGCTAATCTCAGATTCAGGGATCCCACGGAGGCGAGCGTACAGGTACAGGTGCTCCCTTCCCGTCAGCAGCTCGTCTATGGCGTCAAACTGAGGGCAGTAGCCCATATTCTGGTGCACATCCAGGATATTGGTGAGAATACTGAAGAAAAGCACAGTTCATGTTTAGCATGTGCATCCAATGCAGATACACAACTCTTTATAGTTTATATATTACCTGTATCCAGCTACTGACGCCTCCCCTGATGTCACATCCGTGTCTCCGGTCAGCATTTTAAAGGTTGTGGTTTTACCTGCACCATTTACACCAAGAAGCCCAAAGCACTGCAGAAAACATTTAAGTTGATTCCCACATTACTGTTCGGTCATTCATTTCAATTGGAGCAACAGTATGGCTTAGAAATGAAACACATAAAAAGTATTTTCGTGATACCTCTCCTGCTGGAACTCCTACACAGATTTTGTCCACTGCTGGTCGTTTTCTGCGCCTGTATGTCTAAGATGAGACTGTACTCTTTAGCACGGCAATAATGGTAATTAAAAACGCTACAAGTTAAACTCTGACATAGCTTACAAAATATAAAATGGATGCTTTTTATCTTAGTCACTTGAGGCGCTTTCGCACCGCGTAGTTCTAGGAGCTATGAAAATGTTCCTCCGGTGCGAAGTGCCTTTGGTCTGGCCACTTACTTTTGACAAGTCTCGGATTAGAAGGATGTCATTCTTGTTTCCTCCTTTATAAATGCGCTCTCTCTCCTGAGCTACATCATCATCTTCATCTTTAACTGGACTCTTCCCATAGTCTGACACCCTACACAAATAATAGACAGAAATAATAGTTACCATCATATGCTGTTTTAAGATACAGTATGGAAAAAACAAAGAATAGCAATTAAATATTAAACAGATCAAAGGTAACATTTTTAATGTTTTTTTCTTTTTTGCAGCTGTAGAGTAAAAATCTGGACATACATGACATGAAACTGAGCAGAATCTCACATAATATGAATGTCTTTTTGTCCTCACCAGTGATCAAGAAAAAAATTGTACTGGATGAGCAGATTAAAGATGAAATAGACAAAACCCTCCACAGCCATACAGAAGAGATTCTTCCCCACAAAGTTCCATCTGAATGGATCCATGGAAAACTCCTCCCCTGTGCCAAAACAGAATTTATTGTAAGGACAGTTGTCTTATCATCACAAGATTAAACATCCAAATTGCATCATGCAATTCTACTTTTGTGGAGTCACCAGTGGCAGTTCTGCCTCACTTGTTACCATAGTTCTCCATATTAGCAGTGTTATTTAGCAATTTTTGTTTAATATTATTAACACTACCAGGTCAGAAAGATTTCTGGTAACACTTTAGGTATAAAGCCTTTATATATATTGCATTATAAAAGTAGTTTTTAATTTAATTTAAATTAGTTTGGTCTTGTAATGCACCTTGTAATGCATTACTTATTGACTGTTAAACATTTAGAAAGTACAATGCATTAAAACACATGGTGAACACATTATATTATCAATATATAATGCAACTTTGGTTACAATTATTAATAAAAAGATATAATGCATTACAACACACATTATGAATACCTTTGTAATACATTATACATTAAGGCATTTAGACATTAATACTTTTATTCAGCAAGGACACACAAAATTAATCAAAAGTGGAAGTCTTTACAAAAGGCGTTATGTAATGCATTACTTATTGATTGTTAAACATTTAGAAAGTACAATGCATTAAAACACATGGTGAACACATTATATTATCAATATATAATGCAACTTTGGTTACAATTATTAATAAAAAGATATAATGCATTACAACACACATTATGAATACCTTTGTAATACATTATACATTAAGGCATTTAGACATTAATACTTTTATTCAGCAAGGACACACAAAATTAATCAAAAGTGGAAGTCTTTACAAAAGGCGTTACTGTTTCAAATAAATGCTACTCTTTTGAACTTCAAATCATCAAATATTCCTGAAAAAATGTACAAATGTTTTCAACATTGATAGTAATAAGAAATGTTATTTGAGCACCAAATCACCAAAGGATCATGTGACACTGAAGACTAAAGTAATGGCTGCTGAAAATTCAGCTTTGCATCACAATATATTCAAATAGCAAACAGTTATTTCAAATTGTAATGATACTTCACTATTTTACTGGTTTTACTGTATTATTGATCAAATAAATGCAGCCTTAGTGATGATATGATATGATATAATATGATATAAACAACAGGATGAGACTGTGACATTTTTTGTTTGTGTTTCACATGAGAATAATGTGACCCTGGAGCACAAATCCAGTCTTAAGTCGCTGGGGTATATTTGTAGCAATAGCCAACAATACATTGTATGGGTCAAAATTATTGATTTTTCTTTTATGCCAAAAATCATTAGGATATTAAGTAAAGATCATGTCCCATTAAGATATTTTGTAAATATCTACTGTAAATATATTAAAACTTAATTTTTAATTAGTAATATGCATTGCTAAGAACTTCATTTGGACAACTTTAAAGGCGATTTTCTCAATATTTAGATTTTTTTGCACCCTCAGATTCCAGATATTCAAATAGTTGTATCTCAGCCAAATATTGTCCTATCCTAACCATACATCCATGGAAAGCTTATTTATTCAGCTTTCAGATCAAATCGATTTTCAGATTTTTTTTTTTTCAGATCAAATCGATTACGAAAACTGACCCTTATGACTGGTTTTGTGGTCCAGGGTCACTAATCTACGAATTTTGAGGCGAGAAGATGCAGTTCAATTGGATTTAGACAAGTGAATATATGTTTTCTGCCGCAGAATTTTAGACATACACTTTTTATACACATGCTTAATTTTTTTTAGAGATGGACTGGATTATTTTTAGAAATTGCATTCAAATCCACTTTCAAAAATCTGAGGAAATAACATTATGTCAATTTGAACAGGCATGACAACAACTGTTGTTTCATTATTACGTATTGTTAATAGACAGTGTTGGGCAAGTTACTCTGAAAATGTAATCAAATTACGGATTACTTCTTTTAAAAGTAATCACTTGTTTTAGATATTTTATGTCTAGATATTTCTATTTTGCGGGAGTCCCGTGAATCATTTTATTCTCCCGCATCCCGCACGCACACGAGTGTCTGTACCCGCCCGCACCAGCACTCGCCCATCTTCTCCCGCGCCGCGCTGCTGTTGCGTGGGTCTCACGGGAGCAGGTCTCTAATCCACTGGCACTTGACTCGACAGTGCGTGTGCTACATCCTTTTTACAATCTAGATTATTAAACACTGCATTCTGCCAGCAATGTAATGCGGCAGTAACGTATAGAGACCTCGGCTTGTTAGTAATACTCTAATACTCTATGTTAGTAATACTCTAATTACTATTTTGAAAATTATAACTGGTTAAATTACTCCGTTACTAAAATAGTAATCAAATTACAGTAATGCGTTACTAAGTAATGCGTTACTGCCCAACACTGTTAATAGATAAACTTACCAAATCGGGCATAGACATCAGTCACGGCCTGGTTCATGGCCATATCAATGAGACCTCGACCGAGACAGAAATGAGGGAAGACCAGTAACATCTTCTTCAACACCTCATTAAACATTAGCAGAGACTGAAGCATTTGTGAAGAAAAAACACAAGCAATTACTACAAAATAAGGAACCAGACAATTGTTACTTTATCGGTAAACATGGACTTTTACGCAAAAAAATTTTTTTTCTGTGTAACTTTAAAGCATTACTGAGACTAAAAGGTACTAAATTATAATGTATCATTTAAATTATAACAAAAACTGACATTAAAAAAATACCCTGTTGTTTTCAAAGAGCTCTAAGATGAAGGTGATGGCGCTACTGTTGATACCAATGAAAAGGTTGATGCAGGAGAGGGACACATATGCCGTGCTGGGGACATTGAACATGTAGGACATGGGGTACATCATGGGCGTCACTGACCACCTGCATAGAGAAGAGTGAAAGAAAAATCACTGTTGTGCTTAGCTGATTTTCTTCAAATGAGTCTGAACCTACATAAGTCACTGACTGACCCATAGAGACAAAGCAAAGCGACCAGCGCTGGCAGATTGGTCGGTGATGTGTAGCATTTCTTATCAAAAGCCACGAAAATTCCCACAACCACTGCTGTGCTGACAGAGTAGTTCATCTGGCACAAACAAACAAAAGGGATGTGAGCAATCAAGCGGTAATCCAAACACACTTTGCAATGACTAATGACTGACATTTCTCAGAACTGTCCTTGTTAACACACAATGCTGATGAATCTCACCATGTCCCAGAAAAAGTTGGCGACCCAGTAGACCAGAGGGCTGACTCCACTAACAAACTGCAGATGCTTGGCCTTGGTGACACGTTCCTGAATGAGGTAGAGGATGAAGCTGGCTGGGATGAAGGACATGGCAAAGATGACGCAAATGGCCACCACTGCATCCACTGATGTGGTGAGACTGTCCAAAAGGAAAAGCAGCATTTTACTCACTACAAGACTTTATGTTATTCTTAAAAACGTTATCCATACACTTGTTTAGTATTTATATTTATGTATGAAAACAATTGAAGCAATGTTTTATCAGATTTTGGGGTTTCTGATTTCCTGACTACATACTTTACTGTTCAAAATTTTGGGGTCAGTAAGATTGATTTTTGTAATAGAAATTAATACTCTTATTCAGCAAGGGTGCATTAAATTGATTTTTTTTTTTTAAAGACAATAAAGATATGTATAATGTTGCAAAAAAAACATTTTAAAATACATAAATTATATAAAAATATAAATTGTAATAATAATTCACAAAATAATTTTATGTATTTTTGATTAAATAAATGCAGCTTTGGTGATGATAAGAGACCCCTTTCAAAAAGATTTAAAAAATCTTACCAACACCAATGTGAATGTACTTTTTGATTGATTGACAAGTGATTAGAATAACGAAACATGTTGGACATTCAAGGAAGATGATGTAAACTGGGCCTATTCGTCAAAAACCTTTCTATGTGTCAACTGACACTCACACAGTGACCTCTGAGAGCTGCTCTTTGGTGAGGTTGAGCGGGTGATTGATGGCAGTAATGCCGTACTCTGATGGATTGGCGTGAGGCGGCAGGTAAGCACGGAGAATGGCATTGTTTGCTACATTCATGAAGGAGACCATGGCATGCCAGCCTTTGTTATTATACCACACCTGTGACAAGGGAGCAAAAAGTTAAGAATTTGATAGTTTTATAAAATGCAGTGGCATTTACACATTTGTAAGACATGCTTACGTTTTCAAACTACAGTATTTTTAAATAGATGGTTTAACATACCTTTACATTGTACTCACTCTCCATGTAATGCAAGAATGTTTCTAATTCATTCATTACTGACTTTGAATAGGGGCCCTAAGGATAAGATAAGCAATCATTCAACAGTGCATATGTTATGCAAGCAGAATAGAAAGTAATATATTTAAATGCCTCTTATCAAAATCTCATGATCGTTTATGTGTAGTATACACAATATCATACCCCTGTAATATTCATCATCCGTCCAAGCTGGGAAAAAACAGCCCGAATCTCCTCTGGATCAACGTCAAGAATCGGCAGTTGTCCACCAACAGAGAGACCACCATACCTGTGGAGAAAAAACAGATTTAATCAAGTGTATTTTTGTTGTAAACGCAGATGTATAACACGTCTAACATTGCATTTTAGGATACAATTGAATGAGACTTTTTTTAGGGGAAATAGTCTCATTTAGGTTTTGTGACTGGTTATCCATCTCTTTTAATCTGTTTGTACTGTGCCTCTACTAATTCATTCTAAACGATCATGCAATACCACACTTAAAAGTAAAAATTTCAATTTTCAAAAATGCATAATTGCATAATAAATGCGTAATTACAGAAAAATGAGCTAAAAAATTAGCATGTCACACAAAAAAAGACAACTTCCTTTTTTGACTTAAATTAATTGAAATCTTGAGACATTATGCAGAAAGAAATTGATGTGAGCTTTCAACGGCTATGTTAAAAATGACAACTGCTCAAATATTTCATATCAGCAATCACATCAAACATAAAACTAAATAAAAAAAAACGGAAACCTTACCTTTGTTCATTCACCCAATATTTGCTCTTCAAGCTACATATGAGGAAAAACAGCAGTCATTATATAAAATGAAATGAATAGTGATACTACTAACACATTGTTGCTTTTATAACAGCTCACTCAGTCTTGATGAGTTTGGGGTAAGTCTTCACTAAGTAGTCAGAGATGTTTTTGTTTGTCATGTCGAGCAAAATGTCCCCTGTTGGCTCTTTTCTCTACATCAGAGCAATAAAGAAATATCACTAAACCCACTTCCCCGATCTTCATAATCACTATTAAAGTATTACAGTTCTATCTTAGATCCTGACCTGGCGTGGCGGCAATCCTCCAGCTCCATCCGGACAGACGGGCAGCATGGTGAGCTTTGTATCAGTGCTGCACTCACAGGAAGGGGAGGGGTTTCTTGTATCCCACTCGGGACTCAATAAGATGTTTTCAACCTCAGGAGAAACTGGAGGAACTTCCCAATCAGAAGTTGTGTTTAGGCAGGTAAAGAGGCTCCTGTGCACACATATTCACATTTACAAGAGTCCAACAGTGTCTGTCTACTATTTTAAATCTGTCAATAAAGAGTTCTTAGCTAAGAACTAAACCAGCCTGCTCCAACACAATATCACATTACAAACACTGATTTGACACCAAGAAGTACAGGAAAAAAAAAACTCACTCCAAAGGCTGATTTGCCATGCAGCGTGTTCCCATGCCAGGCTCCTTCAGCAATGTCTGTATGAAGTGCCTCATCTTTGGATGTGATGGCTGCTCATTACTGGGTCACAGAAGAACAGTAAGGATTTCAATCACAACTCCCATGAAAACATACAGACTATGGGTCAGATTCTGAGAACAACTTTCACCTGATGAAGGTAAACTGCGGTCCATACATCCACGGAGTGAGGGTCAGACTGGGATACTCTCCAAATGGTGGGACAATCATAGTGAAGACCAAAGCAATAAGGACAAAACTGGCTGGCAAAACAATCTACAAAAAAAGCCAAATGTAAAGAAAACATCTGCTTACTGGCTACTTGTTTTAAGAAAATAAGTGGTCAGGACTTTTTTTTTTACAAATTTGTACTTTTATGTTCCACAGAAGAGACAGTCATACAGGTTTGGAACGACATGAGGATGGGTAGATGATGACAGAAAGATTTTTGATTGAACTATCCCTTGAACATGAATGAACAGTGTTCACATGTAAATGTCACCTTACCTGTGCAAGAAAATCTTTGTGGCTGCGTGCGGCATGGTGAAATCTCTTGACCACAAGAGCATGGAACTGCTTGAGCACCAGACTAAAGCCTTTAACCTGCCTGGAGGCTCTGCCAGCACTGTTGTCAGACTCCAGTGGGTTTACACCATTAGCATCTGTAAACCAGACCAGATATGGATGTAACATTATTAGACCTTTGGTAAAAAAAATGCATAACTGGTCCAAAGCATTATATTTAGGCTGCTGGTTTGTCCTCACCTGGCTAATTAACCATTGACAATTGACCAGCACAAATTTTTAAACCAGCAAGACTGCATTTGTTTCTTTAACAAGCAAGACCTTATTGCTTTACTAGCTTAACCAGGAACATTTTCAGCCAATCAACCAGCATGATTGACTGGTTCACCAGCACTAATCAGCACAAAACCAGCCTGGGCCATCATGGAAATTTACACTAGTCTAGGCTGGTCTGGTATCTGCCAAAAGCTTTAGCTCTACATAAAGCACAGCACCTCAATCAAATCCTTCATAGCGCCCTGTTAGCTTCTTAGCATGAGCGCTAAGCAAAGCTGAGATCTGGGATCTCGATTCACCTTCAACATTACTCGCAGCCTCCCTGTCTTTCCTCTGTTGTAGCATCCATTGCTCTGAGGGAGTAGGCGACCACACAGTCAAACAGTGTTATAAACTATTGGTTTATTAAAAGTACAGGATAAAATAAAAAAAAATGTACTTATGAGATACATGTCTGTAATTATGACTGTAAATATAAGTAATATGAGGATATTCACCTGGTGTGACAGAGCTGTTGGCTGCTTCTCCATCTGCTGTAACTTTCAGAAAGATCTAGATATACACAACACAATTTCTTAAAACATCAGTGAGCACACACTTACTGTATCTATACAACTCTGCACAGTAACAACCAGTGTTATTTTATTTATATACTGTTATAGTATTTATTAATATTTTGAATTAGCTTCTATTTTTTTATAATTTTGTTATGTGTTTTCGTCATTTTATTGAACTTTTTTTGTAAATATTTCAATTTCGCTTATTTAAATTTAAATTTTAGTTTCAACTTACTCAACAATTTTATTCCACCTAGTTGCCAAAGAAACATTGTTTTTAAAGTTTAAGTTTTATCTCTTAATATGAATCTAATATTTATAATACAACTAATTAATACGGATAATAGTTATACAGCTTTATTTCAGTTAACAACAACAACAAAAAGTTAATAGTGTAAGTTAAAAACAACACTGGTCACAACTGACTGCAACAGATTCGTACTTACACTAAAAATGCATACATGCTGCTAATATCCATAAATGACTAACACAAACATTCTACAACAAGTCTATTGACAGGTATCACTGATAGTAATGGTTGCTAGCATAATGCATGAAATGTTGTCTAACCTCCTCTAGTGAGGTGTCAGATATGCCAAAGCTACTGAGGCCCATGTCACCCAACGTTTCCTCCAGTTCGCGGAAAAGGCTTGCGTATGCACGATATTTAAAACCTTTGTTTGGCAGCAGATAGGTCATCTCTTGACCAATCATTTCAATCAGCTTCGCCTCAGGTACATGGTGATGAATCAGAGTAGTGATGCTCTCAACGTTCCCTGTGTAATGAGATAGCAAAAAAGATTTGTTTTTGAAGAAATGAGACTAAAGTGGCTGTTGTATCACTGTATATGTTGAGTTGTAAGTACACTGACCGTCCAGTATTCTCTCAGGTTGTAATGCATGACTTTCCTCTTTATATCTGGTGCAAGTGGAGCAGGTGCAGGAGCACTCAGATGCACAGTCACACTCATTCTGAAGAGCACAGTCAAAGAACTCTTATAGGACACAATCAAATCGCACTTCCAAGCTTTTAAATGATATTTTTGGGGGTTTGCCTCTTCTTGTATTAGATAGACCTACTGTAGGTCTGTAGTGTTTGCCAATACAAAAGTATGCAGTTGTTAAGCTGTTTTTTTGGTAGCTTTATAGACATCATAAAATCTAAATTAACAAACAACTCCCACCCTTATTTTTATGGAATGTTGCAGTATTTATTATAAATTTATCATAGATTTACTATAGATCTATCTATGCATGTTTCACTTGAATATACTGTACACTGCAATTGGACAATAGAGAAGAAAGGATGATTGTTGTTCGTTTCATGCCAATTTTAACGTTTTTTTTTTTTTGTGGCTTTTTTTATCATTTACCAAGTGAAAATAGTAAATGTGGTGTAAAATGGCACATGATAATCAAGTTGTGAGATACGATTCATGTCTGCAGCAACTGTGCAACCAGTTTGTGGCAAACTTTATTAAAATGCTGTGTTGCAAGCAGGACTAAAACCTGTCTTGTCCATATAAACACTATAATTCAGTGTCTGTGTGCTATAGTAACAATGGTATCAAGATCCTGACAGACAAAGCAACGAGCACATTCAAAGCAAAGCTGTGGATTGTAAATACCATACATAAAAATACTACAAACTAGATAAAAGCATGTGCGCACTTTATTCTTAAGGTAAGACACTACAGACAAAACCATTGTTTTTCAATGCATGAAGTGTTGCTTGTGCATTTTGCTTCCTTAACATGTGTTCGTTCAGACTAGTGGAAAACATACAAAATACACATTAAAGTTATTTTATTGCACTTTATCTATTTGTGTCAGTAGATTTCAATTGCAATACATATTTTTAAAGGGTTTGTGTTTTTTTCTCAAGCACTAAGTCAGAAATCTTCACTTCATGAGCACCATACAACGGCAAACACAGTTACAGTTTTATTTCTATCTATATTTTAATGGATTTCTGTGCTGGAAATGTATGCAAATGAGTGCATATGTAATTATATAACGCCTTATTTGCATATTTAAACCTAGCATTTCAGAAAACTGTAATACAAAACAGCTAATGTGCTTAATCATCAGGGGAAGTATGGTGATTTTTCCATTAGTTAAAATATATCTTATTCACTTGTGTTGTCTTGCCTTAATCACCAACATTGTGACCTTTCGCAGAAGTCTCTCACCTCTTTTTTGCGCTGGTCTTTCATGCGACGCACCAGCGTGAGGTAGAAACCCACTCCAAAGCAGTTCTTCAGAAAGAGAGGAGAGCCACTGCAGTGTAGTTTCCCTTTAGAAATGATGGCCACTCTGTCACTCAACAGGTCTGCCTCGTCCATGTGATGAGTCGACAGTATTACTGTGCGTCCTGGATGAAGTGCATGTGTAAGAGACATGGGAGAGAGAAAGTGAATGATACAGATATTTAACAACACGAAGATCAGTTTTGTATCTTATTGCATGAGCAGCTGCAGAGTGTAAATTGTTTTCTTTGGCCAGAAGGTGGCAGTACCTGTGCGGTATTTGAGTAGCAGGTCCCAAATGGAGCGTCTGGAGTATGGATCCACTCCTGATGTCGGCTCATCCAGTATCACCACCTTAGAACCACCCACAAAAGCCATCGCCACAGACAGCTTCCTCTGCATACCCCCTATAGAGAGAGTCGAAACGCAATTACAACACTGACTTGATAGACATTAGTGCCGGATGTTTACTCTCTCACAAACAAACAATTACAGCATGATAAAGCAGCATGACAATTACACCACTGTTGAATTGTGCTATTGTTGTCTCAGAAATTAACGTTGGCATTTAAAACACATTTTTCATGTTTATGTTTAAGGAAAGCTTCATTGCTTCATTTGAAACCCACATCAGCCCTAAAAATGAAGCTTAACTTTAATGTCCCCTGTCTCCCCTACTTTTAAGTATCTGTTTAAAACACAGATCATCAGCAGGCAAACATTAAGACCCCATAACAACAGATTACCACTTTATTGTGTCAGGTTCGCATTCAGACCCACCAGAGAGGTTCTGTGCTTCCTCATCTCGTTTATGAGGCAGTCCCAGGTCCTCCAGCATGTTCTCAACCTCCTGCATGGCCTCCTTGCGATCACGTCCCTTCAGCAGAGAGTAGAAGAGAATATGCTCCTCTACTGTCAGGCTGAGTGAAATTAAATAAAATAAAATATAAATTTTTGAGGCAACCAGACTAGAGTATTTACAATATGTGACCCTGGACCACAAAACTAGCCATAAGGGTCAATATTTGAAATTGAGATGTATACATCATCTTAAAGCTGAATAAATAAGCTTTCCATTGATGTATGGTTTTTGCTTCTCCACGTTGTTTACCACACGCTTCTCAGGGCCTTCAGAGACATGTGGGTGAGTTCACAAAATGAATGTAATGTAGGCCCTGTCTACACCTGTATTTAATTCTGTAAACTTCTGATCAAATCATACAAGATGGATGTTAATATCAGCTGTAAACAATCAACCATACCTGGATCTGGAATCTGTGAGGGTTGAGGTGTCGGCTTCAGCCAGTAAGAGGGCTGCAGTGGGAAATAAAAGGGCCGACCGATGCCATACTGGCCTGAAAAGCCAATGGTAAAAAGAAGTAAGCACACATACACACACATTCAAAAGCATATTTTCTCTTGTTAGTAACATTTAGTGCAGTGATTTGAAAGAAACTGACCTGGAAAGACATTATCGAGATACCAAGCTAAAAAAGCATAGACAACTGCATCCAATAGCATCATGCGAATGGAAGTGAAGAAGGAGTACTCATCACCCTCTAGAGGACTTGTACAAATATTGTCCCACTGCAGCCCCAGGCCTTGTTCCTCATAGCGGGACAGATACTCTGTCCCAAAACCAAAGGCTACTGGAGACAGAAAGCTCTGGAAAAGGAGGACCATTTCACAAAACATTAACGGCAGGCAAGAGCCATTTTGACCACTGAAATTATTTTCCAAATGTAAATAGTATCTGAATGAAATAAGACTTAAATAGCAGTAGTTCTGAACCTCAATACACAATATTCAAAGGCTCCTCTGATATAGACTATTTCCCATATTTCTGCAGGAATTTTGACAAAGCTGCTTGTTTTCAAACTGGGAGAATTTATATATTAAATTAATTAACCACAATTATTTTGTGACTTTTCTTCAGTTAAAACAACAGCTATTGAAAATGAAAATAAATAGTTGTATTGTTTTCTTTTTATTATTTATTATTACTATTAAACATTTCTATTTAAATATTATTGTATGTGTTTTTAACATTTTAATTTAGATTAGAATTTGATTATCTTAATAATAATAATTGATTCATTTAAATGTAAAACTTTTAGTCATCTTAAGACCCTCTTAGAAGTTTGCTGAGGCCCCCTAGTGGTGAAGAATCACTAATTGATAACGTTTTCAGTTACTTTGAATACTGGCGTTTGAGATTGGATAAATCAGAAGAGAAGTGGAACAGCATAGTGGACTCACCACAGCTAACTTCATTTCCTTGGTAATGCGATCCTGCCAGGCGAAACAGAGGATGTGAGGGAGGTAGAGGGTGAAGTAGATGATGCCACTGCAAGCCGCAGCCAAGTTGGCCTTATTGAAGAACACACTCATCAAGAAACACTGCATAATAGTGGCCACAGTGAACGTGAGTAGAAACAGAAACAGGATGATGGGATCACTGTAATTTAGCACTTTGCCTACCTGAGGACAAAGACAAAAAAAATTGGGATACTCTTTTATTTGCAGTGTAAATTATTTTATCGTCACACATCTCTCTTTCTTTGTATTGCTACCAATGAGGTAGCAATACCAAAAATACAGGATATGGTCCATGCAAATTCTAAGAAATACTTGACAGAGAAAAAGGAGTAAGGGAGAGTGACAGATGAGACGATGAGATGACAGATATGTACTACCAACATACATCCAGCAGAGGTCACAATGCAACAAATCTGAGAAAGTCTCAGAGGGACAAAGTTCAATTGACATGGTTCATCAGTCATCACATTTCTTCCTCACCATGATAATGGCAGTCAGCAGAGCAGTGCTGGTGGTCATCACGAGGAAGCTGTCGATGAACCATGTGTGCCAGATGACTCCATTAGAGACGCCCATGGCCTTCAGCGTCTCCTTCAGCCTCATCTCCTTCTCCAGCACAATGCTCTTCACAATCATGGACACTGAGTAGATCCAGGCCAGCACCATGAAGATGGGGAAACAGCGGTTTAGAGTCAGCATGAACCTTGACATGGGACAAAACAAAAAAGTTCCATTGGATATTGGCGTAATTGCAAGGTTTCATTGAGAACCATATGCCATGAAATAATGTGAATGGAGTCAAATGTGATTATTTCTTGACTTCATTAAAATGGACTTGAAGATGCCCAAAAATGACAATTCTGTTATCATTTACACACCTTTTTGGCATTCTTTCTTCTGTGGAACATAAAAGAAGATATTTTAAAGAATGTTGGTAATCAAACAGTGTCAGGTCCCTTCGACTTCGACTGAATGTTGAAAAAAATATAAAGGAAATCAATGGGATTGGAAGTGTTTGGTTACCAACATTCTTTAAAATATCTGTTGTGCTTGCAGAAGAAAGAAAGGCATACAGGTTTGGAACAACATGAAGGTAAGTGATGGCAGCATTTTCATTTTTGGGTGGACTATCCCTCTAAGCAGGTATGATATTATGGGATAGGGTCAGTTAGCACTTTCTGGCCTCATAATTTCAGCCATCACTCACATGTCATCCACATAGCAGGGGTAGGGCATCTGCTGCAGGTAAACCCCTAATGGCCAGTCATGACCTGTGTGTAACTTCAGGATTCCGTGTTCAATCATGTCCTGCAGGTAGGCAAAACCTCCCCAAATGTAGCGATGGTCCTCCACAGGGTCTGCCCTTGGGCCAGGGTCCCAGTACCTAAGAGAAATGGAGGGAAACTTTTATTTGGTGCTAATTCAAAAAGTTTTAAACATGAACAAGAACAAGAACACAAAATGTTTCTTGAGCTGATGAATAAAACTTTATAGAGTGTCACTGGGCTGCTCTGAGATGAACATACTTAAAATTCAGCCTTCTAGCTCACTGGGAAGACGTCTATAAAAGTCAATGCAACTTTAAGCCTCTAAATGTGTACTTTCAGGGGGTTAGTGAGATATATAAATATCCCAGCACCATGAAACTTTAGAGAGTGTTGGAGGGCTTGTTTGACATGACATGTATAGAAATTTCAACCTCCTACTTTACTGGGAAGGCATCACAAAAAAGTCAAAGCCAAGAAGATTCTTGCATACTTATAATAATGCTGAAATTTTGCAATACTAAAAGTTTTTCCACAATTCATAAAACATGCTTAAAATTAGTCCAAACAATTTCAATAGGAGTGGCAAAAATCACAATTTGTAATCCAATTCACATTGTTTGTTTATAGTGGCTGCACTTTGCATTATGCCCACATAATGAAAACACAATGAACCCACAGGCCCACAGTGTGATTCAATCCTTGGATATTTGTCTTCTTGTGTCAAAGAAGGACGGCTACAGTGAGATCTAACCAGACTAACACCTGCAGGCATGTTTTGTGCTCCAGAGAGACTCTCAGTAATGAGTGGTGTCATTTTGCACGGCACAGCACACTGGAGCTCCACGTAGGATGTATGATTGAGCCTGCTCTTTCTCATGCTCTAACAATAGTGTGTTGAGCAGTAACACCTTACATGAACAATTAAGAGAAGATCTTCTATTCTCTCCTTACACAATCAATTTTTATATAAAAGATGAATCAGAACATGTACTCTGAAAGATGAGACATGAACTTATAATCTAATGTTCCTTCAGTGTTCCCTCAACCCTGATCACATTAAAGTTAAAATGAGATTTTAAAGAGTTTAAACATTTGCTTGCCGTCCCTCAAACCATAAAACCTCATTATTCATTTTTACTATGATTTTGACGAGTAGGCCTACGTGCTAAATGCCAAAATGGTTTCTTTAAAATTGGCGATTGAGATGGATATTAAAAAGATTCAGTTTGACTCTGCTTCAGTGGTTTAATGGTCTCCACCCAGTCCTAAGGTACATAAGGAACAACCCTTATTAGATCAGATGAACAATGTAGCAGTTTCATCCTACACAATTATGGATGACCTCTCACCTGTCTTTGATTTTGTTGGTGCGTTCCACTGCATCAATGTCCATTCGGATCTTGAACTTGACATGGCGGGGCAGTTCTGTGGTCCAGGGGTACATGTCCATGAAGATCAGACCTGCCCAGAACTTATTCTCCCCCAGCAGGTGCAGAGCCTGATGGGTCATCAGATTCTCATCCATGTGACCCACAAACTTATCCAGACTTATACACTGTGAGGAAATGGAAAAAAACATGTTTGAATGCTGAATCCTATATGTTCTTGTGGTGGATCATATATAGATGAACAAACGATGCAGGGCGAATTATAAATCTTAGTTTAATACTATTTATTTAGTGTTTAAGTACTATTACTACTATTAGTACTATTTATTTTTTGCTTGCGAAGAAATACTGCACAAGCAAGTGCTGTTGTCCCACTGTTGTTATGAATATTCAGATGAACAGCACAACTGCAAATGTGAACTTGTTTTTATAAAACAGACCATTCAATAAACATTAAATTAATAATCAACAACTTCCATTTTAGACACAATATTGCCATTAATTTGTCTATTTTTGCTCCACCAACAAAAATAATTCTAAACATAGCAACAACAGACAGTAGTGGTGTTTCATTCTTGAATGAATCAGTGTTTTTAAACAAACCTGTCAAATGCATCATTGTTTTGCTCTGAATCTGTGCTTTTTTAAAACAAATCTGTTGAGGGAATGATTGTTTCCCTGCTGAATGAAGCAGTGTTTTTGAACAAATCTACTGAGGGAATGATTGTTTTGCTCCTGAAAGAATTTGTGTTTTTGAACAAATTTGTTAAGTAAATGATTGTTTTGCTCTTGAATGAATCATTATTTTTGAAAGAAACTGCTGAGTGAATGATTGTTTCGCTGCTAAATGAATCTGTGTTTTTGGACGAATCTGTTAAGTGAATGATTGTTTTGCTCCTGAATGAATCAGTGTTTTTGAACAAACTGGTTGACTAGCGTAACAATGCAACTGTAGAAAGAGTCACTGTAAAATCCCTACCACTAATGCACAGATTGACAGTCAGCCTAGAGCGTGCAAACACAGCAGCCAATCAGATTCAAAGACTGGAACTAATAATGTTGTATAATAATGTGTATGTGCACATTGGTATGTAAGAATGTCGCGCTTCAAGAGCCGAAGCAGTTCTCTATGTAGCAGGCCTCTTGTTCTCAAAGCGCATCAATGACATGGGAAAATCACAGAGTCTGTGTTGGCTCTTCACTGGAGGACTGCTGTACAATAGCTGAGTGAACGGCTCGCTCTCACATCACATGCCACCACACTAGAAACGAGAGGCCTCCTACTTCATGCGCACCATATCTAATGGAGTCATTCACAGTAATGTACAATGCCACCAGAGGTCCTGAACAAACAACTGAATGGAAAGATTCAATGGAACCCCTGCAGGACTCACATGTTCTCAACACATTTCAATTGAAAAACACAACATTCACATTCAGAGGCACTCAGCTTGAGCTCATGGACTGAAAAACCACAAATAAACCAAAATTCAGAGAACACAATTATATTTTTTCAGTGACCAATGATCCCGCAGCTCTTCAAGGTAACATTTGAGCAAGGCTGAGGAGTGACAGCTATAGCTAACAGGCTAAACGGGTAAGGTTTGTTTATAAAGCATGAAGGCTCGCCATTTGGATGTAGACAAAGGGAGGCTGGGTCGCCCTATGATAGCCCTCTCCCACCATTGCTGTCCCACTCTAATCAATTTGCGAGAAGAGGCCGGCCTCCAGCTTATGGGACAGGGGCCGGTCATGGCTTGGGAGGTGAGGTAACAGAGTGAAGCTGAGTGATTTGCCCCTCTTGTTTCTCAATGAAGCCCCCCGTCCACAAAAAACAACACGGTGCTGGCAAATGGTGGCTCTCCCACCCACTCCCCACTTAATCAAAGCCGCACAATAGAGCGGCCTGCATGCTGTTGACAGCTTGCTTGTTCTTTTCCCTTTCACCCATCTGGCCACGGTGGGCTCTATATAGCCGTGCTAAGTGGTCTTTCTTGTGGTGATGTGCTGACAGCAATCAGTGCTCTGCAGAATGAGAGCTGTGGTGCTCAGAGCTAAAGAGCCTCATTCTGTCAAGTGAGGAACAGATAGGCTGGTTTGTATGGAGATGCTCAACACGGGGGCATCGCTTGACATCGCGGAAAGGGCTGGAGCCCGAATCTGGACAGAGCTAAATGTTTTAGGGGCATAGATAAAGGATGTATTAATTTTGACTCTATTTATGGATCATTAATAATATTTGCCAATATTAATATATTACAGTGCTAAATAATATTCCTTTCACTCCTATAATTCCTTTCATTCCTGCTTTCACAATCTAACTCCATTTGCTTTAGAATGAATCAGTTTTGTCAATGAATCTGTAGAGTGAAGGATTGTTTCGCTCTTGAATATATCAGTGTTGATATAAATGAATCAGTGTTTTTGAACAAATCTGTCGAGTAAATTATTGTTTTGATCAAGAATGAATCAGTGTTTTTGAACAAATCTGCTGAATAAATTATTGTTTTGTTCCGAAATTAATCAGTTTTTTTTAACAAATCTGTTGAGTAAATTATTGTTTTGATCAAGAATTAATCAGTGTTTTTGAACAAATCTGTTGAGTGAATTATTGTTTTGATCTGGAATGCATCAGTGTTTTTGAATTAATCTGTTGAATTGATTATTGTTTTGTTCCAGAATGAATCAGTGTTTTTGAATAAATCTGTTGAGTAAATTATTGTTTTGTTCCAGAATGAATCAGTGTTTTTGAATAAATTTGTTGAGTAAATTATTGTTTTAATCTTGAATGAATCAGTGTTTTTGAACAAATCTGATGAATACATTTTTGTTTTGTTCAAGAATAAATCAGTGCTTTTGAACAAATCTGTTGAGTAAATTATTGTTTTGATCTAGATTGAATCAGTGTTTTTTAACAAATCTGTTGAGTGAATTATGGTTTGATCTAGATTGAATAAGTGTTCCTGAACAAGTCTGTTGAGTAAATTATTGTTTTAATCTTCAATGAATCAGTGTTTTTGAACAAATTTATTGAGTAAATTGTTTAATTCTAGAATGAATCAATATTTTGAACAAATCTGTTGAGTAAATGAAACAGTGTTTTTGAATGAATCTGTTGAATGAATTTTTGTTTTGTTCCAGAATGAATCAGTGTTTTTGTCTGTGGAACAAATGATTGTTTCACTCCAGTGTTTTTAAACAAATCAGTTTAATGAAAGACAGTCACTTGTCACCACCTACGGGTGGAACAACTGCAGAAATAGTCATTGTAAAGTTATGTACCAAAATAATATATTACAGTGCTAAATAACATTCCTTTTGGTTTTCAATGCACACTCCACTTGTGGAAGTGTTTGTAAGCTGAAAAATGCTGAAACTGGTTTCAAACAAGATATGTTTGCATAAAATGTTTGCATGTCATTCAGACTACTAAAATTTCATCTGGTTTCATCTGGTTCGGTTCTAAAGGAAACGTGAGGTGTTTTAAAAGAGTACATTTACTAAATGCCATTTTTGTCAGTTCTAACTAACTTATCCCTAAACCTAAATTGAATTGACGACTGCCCTTACCTCACTGTACCGGTTGAACATCCGAATAGCCTGATCAGCCAGACTAAAGACGTTTCTCCAGTCAAAGTTTGTCATGTTCATATATCTGTCCTGCTCTGGGCCATTGTGCAGGAAGTTAAGGATGTCTTTGGTGGACAACTGTGTTTCTTTAAGACGCCTGTCCAAAAAGTCCATCACTGTGGGGTTTCTAAGTGTGTCCTGCAGTGGGTTGGAAAGAGAGAGAGACAGTTGTGAAAACGGTTGTGCTGCTTAGTTTTTGTGGAAACCACAATACATTTTTTTGTTTTACTTTGATTAATAGAAAGTTCAAAAGAACGGCATTCATTTGAAATATAAATCTTTTGTAACATTATAATTGTTTTTACTGTAACCTTTGATCAATATAATGCATCCTTGCTTAATTAAATTTCTTACAAAAAATTCTTACAGACCCCAAATAATTTAACTGTAGTGTATACAAAGACAGTATTTAAGAATTAAATCACTTATAGATACGTATCATAACAGATAATAAAATATAACAACGTAATCTCATGACAGATTACACAGAGACCAAAGGAGGACAGTGGATTGTATATTCAGGAGATTATTGGAATAATGTGGCATGTGAAGGGATAAAGGGAGGTGTGTGTGCATGTGTGTATGAGATGAAAAGAAACAGATACGTTACCCGTATCATGTTCATTTGAACGCTGTTCTCAAAGAATTCCCAGAGCTGCGGTCCCACCTCTTCCCAGACCTTCCCCATTTTCTGCAACCTCTCTAGCTCCTCAAAAGTAGTGTTGGCCTGGACAAAACATACACACACAAATTCATATGGATTGTCAGCATCACACTGTACAGGGCACCTTAACCTGTCTACAGGGATGCACAATAACAAAACAACTGACTCAGCAATGTTCCAGCTCATTGAAACAAAAACAACAATCCAGATGGAAAAAATATATAAGTGTAGCCTTGACACACATAATTGAATTGAAGCACACAATATGCTCTTTGGATCATCTCAAATAATGCTGGAGAACATGATATTCAGGTTTTGCACAAATTTGTGGAGTTCGAGTGCTGCTGTCATTAAAGAAAAAGAAGCATTTTCAATGGTGGTCTCAGATTTTCTATCCCCACTGTATACCATTCAAATGTGTGGAATTGGTCACTTCAGTTACTGAAGTTACTATCAGTTACTTTTTTCAGTAAGGTTGCATTAAACTGATCAAAAGTGACAGAAAAGACATTCGTAAGATTGTATTTATTTGTATTTCATATAAATGTTGTTCTTTTGAACTTTCAAAGAATCTGAAAAATGTATCATGGTTTCCATGATAAAAAATATTAAACAGTGCAACTGTTTATCAACAGTGATATTAATAAGAAACATTTCTTGAGCACCAAATCAGCATATTAGAATGATTTCTGAATCATGTGACACTGAAGATTTGAGAAATGGCTTCAGTTTTGCCATCACAGGAATTAATAACGTTAAAATATATTCAAATAGAAAACTGCTACTTTAAATTGTAATAATATTTCACAATATTACAGCTTTTACTGTATTTTTGATCAAATAAATGCATGCTGAGCATAAGTGACGACTTCTAAAAACATTTTAAAAATCTTACCGACACCCCAAACATTAGTGTATGGTTTCATTGTCAGTGGTTACAAGACAGTGCATGTGTGAAAGTAGCTGGATATTTGTATCTTACACTTTTTAATATCTTTCTGACAGCTGGGGAGTCTGGGGTGTAGAGGATCTTCCCCATCACCAGAGGCTTCACTGAATTCCACATGATTTTCGTAACAGGGTTCGACTCTAGGTTCTGCGTCAGTGCATTACAAAATGGAGCTGTGGGCCAAAGAGAGAGTGAAAGAGAGACAGAGCAAGAAAAAGAAAGTGAAAAAGAGAAATTAGAACAAAGCGAAAGTGAAAGAGAGAAAAAAGTGAAATTAACAGAACAGACAGATCAATAGCTCTCACTTGCTGTCTTGTCATAGGTGTAGCTGTCGTGTCCTCTGGAGCTGTTGATGCCTAGGAAAGTCTTGTAGTTGTTGTCCTCATACCAATTAAAGGAGAAGACCCGGGTGATCTCACCCTCTGGGTATCCGCAGAAGAGATCCGATACAGTGGACATCAGCTGACTGAAGGACGAGGGACCCCCGGACTGGAAGATGGAGTACATGACCCGCATCAAGTCCTGGGAGCTGGGCCTCTCCGCAAGCTGTGAGAGGAAGGCCATTTTAGTAAATGTAAACTTTTACAGCCGGATTTTAAAAATAAACTCTACATAGCAGCTACAGTATGTACATATTAATTTATGTATGGGCCTTAAATGCATCAGGGCATGATAGCTGGAGGAAGTCAAGGTTTTCAGTACAAATCATATGATCATTTTAGGATGCTTTAAATAACTTTTTGAGCTTGAGTCACCAACTACTTTCATTTTATGGGAAATAGCAACTTGGACATTCTGCTGAACATCTCCTTTAGTTATTCAAAGAAAAAAACAAACAAACAGGTTTTAAACAACCTGAGAGTAATAAATGCTCAGAGAACATTTGTGTTAGCTATTTCTTTAAGGATGCAAGTCATTATGACTGATAACACCACTCTTACGTGAGAAGACTTATAATATAAAGCTAAATATAACGAATAGACACAACCATTCAAAAATTTGGAATCAGAAAAGATTTATTTTTTTAAAGAAATTAATTTTATAGAAATTGTATTCATCAAATTGATCAAAAGTGACAATAAAGTAATTTGTAATGTTACAAAATATTTCCATTTCCTTAACAGTAAATGCTGTTCCCTTTCAGTCGGTCACTACGAGTCACGTCGTGCTGCCGCTGATCACAGCGTGAGTATAATAAGGCAGCAGGTGCAATGCATACCAGCTTTTCGCTTTGGAGCCGAGCGACAACATCGTTCTGCTCTATGTTTATTTCGAGAACTACGAGTTCAGTACGCTCTCGGAAGCTTTCTGTGTTGGCGGGACGGCGCTTCAGCGGTGGTCGTTCCAGTGTCGAGTGGGTTGCGCACTTCAGGCTGCACCACCCCCTGTCGTGTTGCAAAGCGGCCATCTCCCCTGTGCGCCTCAGCACTAAAAGAGCATTTCCTAAAAAGAGCAAATTTCTCTAAAAGAGCTACACGGGTGCGTCTTTATAAAGACGACGGATCGTCCTTATAAGGATGCCGTTTCACCCGTGCGTTTCTGGGTGCGGTCGTTACCTGGCACCGGGTGATGGTCACGATCGCTGCCTCACGTGTCTGGGCATTAAGCACGCTGAGGTGGCCTTCGTGGATGAGTCATGTTCTCATTGCGGGAAGATGACCATCTCGGAGCTGCGAACCAGACTCCGCTACTCGCAAGGGGGCGGAACCTGGTATGCATTGCACCGGCTGCCTTTTTATGCTCACGCTGTGATCAGCGGCAGCTGGATGCAATAATTGCATGCCAATGTGCATTGGCTCGTTTAGTTTACAGTCGAAGTAGATTGGTCTATCGAAGCGATATCCCAATTCGTCGGTCACGACGTGACGTCTCCGTTCCCTCCTTCAGGGAACGAGGGTTACCATACGTAACCGAGACGTTCTTTTAAACTTTCTATTTATCAAAATATCCTGTAAAAATGTATCACGGTTTCCAGAAAATACTAAGCAACACAATGGTTTGCAACATTAATAATAAAAAAATTAAATATATTCAATTTGAAAACAGTTACAGTATTTTAAATTGTAGTAAAATTGTCATAATTGTAATAATAAATGTAATACAATTTCAATAAAATTGTACTATTTTACTGTATTTTTTTTTTACCAAAAAAACTAAAAATTTTCAAATACATAAATAATTTTTTACCAACGGTACTGTACCTATTCATTCTTTATACTTAATATTATTAAACGGATAGTTCGGGTCCTTGATTCTGATTGGTTGAGCCGCGTTCGAAGCTGTTGTAAATTACTCTACAAACATACACCTTTGTTTACTTTGTGTGTAACCACAACTGTTTCTGAGGAACTACATTGTTTGGTGGAAGAATACTGTGTTTATTAATATCATTACACTTTATTTGCTCTGTTTTATTTAGTGAAACCTTAATACGTATATGGAATAGCCGTTTTATATAAGAAATAAGCCCCGAGAAGACGTGGGGTACAGTGAATTTATAACAGCTAAGGGGGTCGTGCCTAACAACGCCCCTTAGCTGTTATAAATTCACTGTAAACCATGGCTTCTTGGGGATTATTACTTTATTTTTGAATAACAGCACAGTTTAGAATAATACCACAATATTTTAGAATAAAACAGCCCTGCACACTTTTAAGGCAAGAGTTATGTTTATGTCCCCAAATTGTTTGACCAGCCTCGTCTGAACCTCTCTATCCAGGTTTACATGTTTTATCTGCCAGAAACTATTCTCAAAACACAACAACGTGGCAACCTAAAGACGCACATCCTTGAAGAGGATATCCCTAAATCAACCCTAAAGCACAGTTGTGGCTGAATTTGGCATCCTGGAGGTAAAAATAAGGTAAGAACCAGGTTTGCAATTAATCCCAACATCTTGTAAACTCTGTATAGAAATAAAGATGTTTTTGTCCATACAATGTCCAGTGTTGTTTTGAACCCCATTGACTTTCATTGTACAGACAAAAACAGATTCAACATTCTTTAAAATATATTTTTTGTGTGTTTCACAGAAAAAATCAAATCATACAGACTGAACCACAAAGCCTAACAATCACTGCTCTCTCAAAATACGAGGCCAGCCGATTATCGGGGTGAACGTGAGATCCAGCACTCTTCAGTGGGTCATGAACTCTAATGCACACCATGATAGCCAAAATAAGTCAAACCAGGTCAAAATAAGTGACGAAGATTTCCATAGAGGCTTTCAGTATGAGGAATGAGTCATTGCTCAACCTCCACTAAACTAAAACTTTACCTCCTTACTTCCCATTTATACACATTCATACTGATTTAGTGATGGGTGATAGCATTAGTTGGCCAGGCTTTCTGTCACCCGAGCAAAAGGGAAAGAAATATACTCCACCTACAGGATGTGACCTCAGTGGAATGCGCTTTCACATATTTGTGAAACAGGAGTGATGATACACATGCATGAACTGGTCATATAAACACTTTCTGTCCTCATAAAGCACACAAAATTAGGTTATGGTGATTTAATAAAGAAACTGAGGTTTATGTGATAGACAAAAATGATCTGTAACACACACACTTTCCTAACGTCTCTCATGGAGCTTTCTGAAGAGCTGAAGGGAAGTGAGGAGCTTCCTGGATGCTAAAATAAGGGTCTTAAAAGGGGGAGAGGAACTGAGCTTTCTCAAGCTTTCCCGTACCTCCTGAAGCTTGTCGGACGATGCTGAAAGCACTCGACCCCAGAACTGCAGGTCTATCCCGGTCGTGTGGCTATCCAGCACCATGGGCAACTGAACACAGACAGAAAGAGAGACATTTGAGTTCATATTAACCTTACAGTTTGTGAAGCATATTAATGACCACAAATGTGCACAAACCAAGTAGAAATAGAATGTAGCCAAATACTAAATTTCATTCATTTGAGTACATAATTCTAAACATGTTTTTAATACCTTTACATTATGATTTAAATAGTACAATTAAAAACGGTTAAAAAGTCAGTAAGATTTTTTAAAATGTTTTTGAAAGTAGTCTCTTATGCTCACCGAGGCTGCATTTATTTATTTAATCAAAATTACAGAAAAATAGAAATGATGTGAGATATTATTGCAGTTATATTACTGCAAAAATAACTTTTTAGCAACAAAGTTACTAAAAATAACACAATTTTATATTTGAATTATTACTATTTGTTATTTATTTATTTTTATATGTAATGTAATACAATTTATATTTTTATATAATTTTATTTTGATTTAAAATTTGTATATATTTTAATGTATTTTTTTCCCCTGTGATGGCAAAGCTGAATTTTCAGCAGCCTTTACTCCAGTCTTCAGTGTCACACTCTAATATGATGATTTGGTGCTCAAGAAACATTTCTTATTATTATCAATGTTGAAAACAGTTGTACTGTTTAATATTTTTGTGAAAACTGATTTTGTTTTAGGATCTTTGTTGAATAAAAAGTTAATAAGCAATCTTTTGTGACATAAATGTATTTACTGTTGATCAATTTAATGCATCCTTGCTGGACAAAAATAATAATTTATTTTGAAAATGGATGCTAAACACAATTTCTAAACTACACAGTCCCCTGAACATTTAAATGTTTTGAATATCTGTGCTTTGGAAAAAAAAAATGTAAAGTAAATTTTACAAAAGAGGGGGGAAAATGTTCCTTTTTACTGCAAATGATTAATAGGTACATGTTACTCTAAAGGGGGAAAATGTTTTCATAATCATTCATCAAAATATAATAACTTGCTCTTCCTCTGAAATGACTTTCTATTGGCACCACTACAGGCAAATTGATAATATTAAGCAAAAGCCAAAAAGCTCTCTGAGCAATGTTCTTGATTTATTGTGGCACATAAAGTCCACTTTTCACCATCCAATCAAACACCCAAAGAATAAACTCCCACCCTAAATGTTTTCTTAGCGATTATCTTGTTTCAGTCTGAACTATTACAGAAGTAAAATAGATTGCGATCAGAGTCCCATGTTGACTTAAAAGCACTGGGCTTATGAAATTCTGAAGCAGATGAAAGCTAATGTTTAATGACTGTGTTTAATCACTGTACAGTGATATGGTGTCTAAAGACACAAGTAGAGAGATGCAAGATGAGCAGCAACTTTTTCCCCGAAACGTAAACATCATCACGAGAGACAGCAAAACTGCATAAAGAACAGAAACTGCTTTCTCAGCTGTCCTCATCACCTGAGGGAGTGTCTTCTTTAATCTCATTAGTAAATGAGGCCAAGCAGTGTGTCATCATGCTAACGCTACCATCTGCTTTAATCTAACCCTGACTAAACCTCACAGACAGAGAGAGAGAGACTTATAAGTAGTGTTGTTTCAGCAGTGGTATTCATAGGCCTTCTAAAATCTAACAACAGGTAAGTAGGTCTGGCTCATGATCCGCATTCTTAGTTCAGTGCACCACCAGCGAACACTTATGATGTGTTTAGAACAGCTTTTCCATAATGCGTACAGCTACTGTATACTGCGTACTACAGTGGAGAACATAATGATTTACTGTTGAATCTAAGCTAAATATTTCCAATCTGTATGAAATATGTTTCAACTTTCTCTGCAACAAAATTGACTGGTTTTCTCTGCAGTGTCCATTTAGAGACATTTCAAAATCTAAGAAAAATGTATGAGCTGGTTTTTGGACCCACAACTAGGTTACAGTTGAACTGTTCTAAATCTATGAAATGTATAAAATAGCCTAACTATTCAATTTTATAACTACTCTATTATATTTAGAAATGTAAGTTATTATAATGATACACTCTTAAAAATAAAGGTGCTTAAAAGGTTCTTCACATGCAGCGTTGCCATAGAAGAGCCATTTTTGGTTAAACAGAACCCTTCAGTCAAAGGTTCTCTAAAGAACAATCTCTTTCTTACCTTTTTATAATCTGAAGAACCTTCTTTGGCCACAAAGAACCTCTTATGAAACAGAAAGGTTCTTCAGATGTTAAAGGTTCTTTATGGAACCATTTAGACAAAAAGGTTCTTCTGTGGCATCGTGAAGCACCTTTATTTTTAAGAGTGTAGTGTAATTTAGTGTCAAATCATTTTTAAAATTCCTGTCAAAATATACACTGTCATTCAAAAGTTTGATCAAAAATACAATAAAAGCAGTAATACTGTCACATGATCCTTCAAAAACATTTTAATATCCTGAGTCTATGTTCAAAAGTTGTGCTGCTTAATATTTTTGTGGAAACCATTATAATTTTTTGGTAACACTTATTAACACAATATTAACTAGTTGCTAATTAGCATACCTATTATTAACATATTGGTTGTTTATTAGTATGTATAAAGCACATAGTCCTACCCAATACCTAAACTTAACAACTACCTTACTAACTATTAATAAGCAACAAATTAGGAGTTTATTGAGGAGTTTATTTTATTTATTTATTTTGATTAGTTCAAAAGAGCAGCCTTTTTTTTTAACATTACAAATGTCTTTACTGTTATATTTGATCAATTTAGCAGGGCTTTGCTAAATATAAGTTAAAGGGGTGGTTTACTGTTTTTTTTCTAGGCTTGATTGTGTTTATGGGGTGCAGTCTAACATGTGTAAATGCTTTTCACATCATTTACCTTTATTCTACACCACTCTGTCCCTTCTCCCATAAACACGCTGATCATTTCCTGCTTTTATGAAACCCCTCCCTCAGAAATACGTGATGGGCTCAGATTGGTTAGCTGTTGTGATTGGCTAAACCGCCTCTAGTGCGCGTCTGAATGTCCCGCCCCTCACCTCAGCGGCATGTGCTCCAGTTGTATTGTAAACAATGGGGTCGTCTATATTGCTTATCAGTTTGAGCCCGATTGAGACGCAGAGGATATTAGTGCAGAGGAACGCGCAGAACCTGAGCAAGCATAGCTCTTAATGGTATGTTTTTTGATTGTTGTTGTCTCATACTTTTAGATACGCTGTTATTTGTAAATGCTACTGCTTCTGTTAGCTTTTAATATACGGTTTTATTTAAAGCTGACTAAAGGTTTAATACAGTACGGCAACCGCAAGCGCGTCCATGAATAACGCTTCTCATAGCTATGTGAAAATAAGTGTACAAATGGAACAGTTCATTGTTGGAGCTGAGCTGAATGAGAGAGAGAGAGAGAGATGCAGAGCGTGTGCAGAGCAGGGGGACGCGAGGAACAGGATTAAGAACCGCTGCTTTAGAACATTGATTTTGAAACTTGTGAATCCATTAGAATCGTTAGAAAACAGAATCAGGATTCATATATGAATAGATTTTTACGTCCACCTCTAGTATTCTCTTCCTCTTCTCTAAAGCAGCGCAGCATGGCCTCGCCCCCTTCGTTGCATGTTCCCGGGGGCGGGGTTTGTCTGGGTTTGTGATGTCACGAACCCGGGACGTAACTCTTTGTAGTCCCTACCAGCCATTTTTGTAGGCATTAAACTGCCAGAATTTTAAAAGATGATATCTCCGTTTGCATTGAACTTTCAGTGCCGCAACTTTGCAGATATTGTTTATGCTCAAACAGCAACATTACACACTAACTAACATTAAAAAAGTGAAATCGCAGTCAACCATCACTTTAAATAGAACAGAATTTCTTAAAAAAAAAATCGTACTGACCCCAATCTTTTGAACGGTAGTGTGTATTATTGTTTTGTTTTGTTTGAATGTTTTATTCAGTCGGCCTTGCAACGTTGCATTCATTGCTTTTACTGTACACAAAATTTGCAATCCATATAATTTTGAAATGAGCTTTTTCAAGCATTATACTTGGTCATATTTTGGGACTGAATAACATCTCAGTCCTCTAAACATTAGTGTAACTGTGCAAAGTAAAAGCTTCATGACTGACCAGACGTAAGAGCTTGAAGAAGTCTATGTTGGCATACAGCACGTCCTCGATCTTCTGCAGCCTTTGCTGGGAAAGGGCACACATGGCATTGTGGACCCCATACAGCCCTCCGCGACTGGGGAAGATGAGGAATCGCTCCAGAAGAGCATGACTGCAGGCGATCTCTTTCAGAGTCAGATCTGTGACTCCATATGCAAACTGGAAACACAGGAGATGATTGTTAATGAAGAAGTAGTTCAGCATGTCCATGCTTTGGAAGAATATGGTGAAAAATCTTTGAAATTTCTGACTTTTGACTGCAGAGTTTGGTATCTTGGCGAATCTGAGCACAATGTGAAACATTGCTAAGATGTTTTTGACACTCTAGAGGACATATATGAGATTACCGGGGGGGTTTTCTCAGACTTTGGTTATATTTGCTCTATATTTAATCTGCTGTCTGAACGAAAATAAATTGGATATTATCTCATTTGTGTTTTTTTGAGTAGTAATCTAGTTACAAGATCAAAAACAACTGTCTCAGCATGTTCTTGCAGAAATAAAAAAATAAATCTTCAGATGACTTAAGATCTGGTCTGACTCATCAAAAAGTGTCTTAAATTTGTCTTTAAGAAATCATTCAAATACAGGCATTTGGAAATATCTATACATTATTTATGGTGTGTTTCCCAATACGTTGTGTAGGATCAAAGCAGCCTACTTAAGAGTGCTTGAATCACTGAGACAATGGGCTACATCATAAATTAATCTGTGTGTGAGAGGCCAGCGTGAAACAAAAGAAGACGCACGTCACGAAGACACTGACATACAAACTCAGGAAGGACTCTTAGTGACTGTTAACACCACAAAACACCACATGAATCCACTAGATTTTGCTGGAAACACCTAGTAAATCCCCATAGGAGAGTTTGAGGATGTGACTGTGTGACAGGATTCTGCTTGCAGTGGAAGCTATTAAAGCATTTATGAAAACAAATGGCTCACAAGCAGGGCCGTTTCTAGGCATAGGCGAGCTAGGCGGTCTGCTCACAAGAGAAGGAAGCTAATGTGCTTTTTTAAAAAGCAGTAGCTTAAAAAGCCAAATTTGCAGTAACGTACTTGCTCCATCCGCACTTTTGCATTTGTAAGATCATACACCACAGCCTCTGAAAGCCCAGCGTCCCGCAGCAGGAATGACGTCAGACCCTCGTCGTCCTTCAGAATGTGCTCTACCTTCAGTCCTTTACCTGATGGCACAAAGGAAAGGAAAGGACGTGGAGGGAAAAATAACATCATGTAAGAAAATGTTAAAAAAATGTGTGTCACATGTAAGAAAATGTGTGTCCGTGCAAAACTCACCGCTGTTTTGGTTGCTATATGTAAGTCTAAGTCAAATGGTTGTCAAGTTTGTTGGACTTATTTGAAATCATCAAAAAAAATGCCTTCTTAAACTAAATCCTTTAAAGCTTTACTTGAGACGCAAGTAAACAAATACAAATATTCCCTATTTCTGGCCTATGGGCAAAATGGAAGAATGCATTCCACTCCTTCTTAAATTGTCTCACTAGAGTAACTCTCATTAGAGTTACAAATGACCTGCTCTTATCATCTGATTGTGGTTGTATCTCTCTTGACTTGACTTAAATGAAGCACTCTTAACACTGCAGCAGTGTGCTGACCAGCGTGTAATGACTTTGACATATATTCATTTAGAGGACAAACTGTGCTGACAAAGTGCTTGAATGGATCACTTGATCACTGGATTCTTCTCTGAAAGCTTTGTCGCTCAACAGGACTCTGGTGTGCTGAAAGGTCACGCACGACATGAGAGTCGTGTGTGTAGAAAGTGCTGCTAGATTCATCTAACCAACTCCAGTTAAAAGTGTTCAGAGGTAAACTACAGGGCTGTCATTTTGGTTAACAATACGAAAAGAAATATTTTACAAATATTAAACTATGACTTAAAAAGGTGTAAATGATGATGTGATGACAACTGAAAAAGTTTTTGGTCCTAATTGGTACTTGAACATTTCTATCAATACTCCCATAAAAAAGTTTGTGGTGCAAGACTTACTTTTTGTTTTGTTTTGGTGGTAACACTTCAGTGTAGGGACCAATTCTCACTATTAATTGGTTGCTTATTAGCATGCTTATTATTATATTGGTTATTTATTAGTACTTATAAAGCACATATTCTACATGAGCATATTCTACATCCCTAATCCTACTCAATATCTAAACTTAACAACTATATTACTAACTATTAATAAGTATCAAATTAGGAGTTTACTGAGGCAAAATTTGTAGTTAATAGTTTGTTAATGGTGAGAATTGGACCTTAGCCATCATTTCAGAAGTGAGGGGGACAGAAATGTTATATATATATATATATATATATAAAGTGGGGGGGGACACGTCCCCCGCGTAATCTACGTCCCTGAGTGTGACCGTTTTGGTTTGGTTTGTTATGGTTTGGTTTGATAAAAATTTGTCATTTGCTAAAAATGACAGTAATTATTTTACATTGTTAAACAAGGTTTAACCATGTATGTTAATGCTGTTCTTTTAAACATTTTAAGAATCCTGAAAAATGTATTACAGTTTCCACAAAAATATTAAGCAGCACAAATGTTTTCAACACTGATAATAATAATAATAATAATAAAATGTATTTTGAGCAGCGAACCAGCATATTAGAATGATTTCTGACAGATCATGTGACACTAAAAAATGTGGCTGCTTTAAAAAAACACAGGAGTAAAATATATTATAGATTGTAATAATATTTTACAAAATTACTCTTTTTACTGTTTCTGATCAAATAAATGCAGCCTTGGTGAATATAAGAGACTTCCAAAAATATAAAAAAGAATAATAAAAACAAATAAATAAATCTTACTGACCCCAAACTTCTGAAGGGTAGTGTAATTATATTAAAAATAGCAGCCAGGATATTTAACTAAATTTCACCTCATGTTCCACAGTGGAAGGAAAGTCATACAGGTTCCGTATGACATGAGAAATCATTTCCCTCTGATTTTATGGCTAACTCACGGCTAGAAGTATATTTGACAGGACAAAGAAAATATGCTGATATGAGAATGTGTCCTATTTAAAAATTCTCTCCATATATTAAGATAGACTTAGGTTCGCTCTGGACTAGTCAGGGAGGGCGCAGGAAAAGGAAACAGGTATGAGGGGAGTGGAAGTACAAGAGAGGAAATGCCCACTCTCTCCATCCATCACTCAGATCCATTAAAGAGGTCCCATCAGTTCCTCTGAGGGCCGGGTTAATGGGTCAGACAGCACATGCTCCCCCTGCCCTACATACCTGCCACCAGTGCAGGATTGGTGCGTAGCGTCTCCATGAAGTTGCTCAAGACGGTGGCTTCATGCCACAGACGGCCGAGCTGACGGAACTCAGTGTCGTTGAACAGCAGCTCCTGTGAATCTTGGTAAAACCGTGCCAGTCTAAAGAGGATAGAAAGAAATGAGCAACAACAATAAACTGGAACTTGGATTCAAACTGACTTAGTCCATTAAAAACAAACATCTCCCAACATTTTACAGTATGAACTTGAAAAAAAAATGTGTATCTATAATGCGATAAGACTAAATTTACAATCCCAACTGTTGGTTATCGAGCTGTTGGATGTCCTGCAAAACTCCTCTGCACTGGAAGAGTCATTTTTCCTCCAAACTGAATTGTGTCAGAAGAATATTTCTGGACGCCTACAACACAAAATGTGCAAGATAGGAAAATATTTCAGATTTGAGATGTGAAGGAGCGTCTGACTCACATGGAGTTGTGGTAGTTGGAAACGACCCCAGGCGACTCTCCTCGAGTTTGATGGCGAAAACATGGGTTATTAGCATTGCAGAAAATCCCTTGAATCCAAGGCAGGATTCCCGTTGAGGGCATAGCCTTGCTGGGAAAATGACCTGCATTTACAGATATGATGAGTAAGTCCTCAGGCACCTCACACAGATGCTAATGAACTTTCAAGCTGTCTTGTTTTTCTGAATACCATTATCAATAGCTGGCTGAGAGTGTGAAATTGTACAACCTAAAGTAACGATGCTATAATGTTTATTCTTACATTCATGTTGGCGATACAGAGGATTGGCTCTTCGTAGCCACACAAGTCCAATGAATAAAAACACAGGCCACAGAATCTCAACCAGGAAGCGAATCTGTGTGCAAGTGACAAGAGAGCGGTTTGTTCAGAAACATGTCAGATCTGGACGTAGGATTTTAGTAATGATGAAAACAACACTTTACAAAAAAAGCTCAAGTTGCATACCATGAACCAACAGTAATAAACAGTACTTTTCTACAGCATTTATTAGAGGGATAGTACGCCCAAAAATGAACATTTTGTCATCATTTACTTGCCCTCATGTCGTTCCAAACCTGTAAGAGCTTCTTTCTTATGTTGAACATAAAAGAATATATTTTAAAGAATGCTGGTAATGAAAGAGTTTATGGTCCCCATTGACTTCCATAGTATTTCTTTCCCTAAGTCAATGGGGACCAACATCTGTTTGGTTCTTCAAAATTCTTCAAAATATCTTCTCTTGCCCTCATGTCGTTCCAAACCTGTAAGAGCTTCTTTCTTATGTTGAACATAAAAGAATATATTTTGAAGAATGCTGGTAATGAAAGAGTTTATGGTCCCCATTGACTTCCATAGTATTTCTTTCCCTAAGTCAATGGGGACCAACATCTGTTTGGTTCTTCAAAATTCTTCAAAATATCTTCTTTTGTGTTCAACATAAGAAAGAATCTTATACAGGTTTGGAACGACATGAGGGTGAGTAAATGATGGCAAAATTTTCATTTTGGGGTGAACTATTCCTTTAATGTAGTTCACTGTGAATTTCTACATGTTAATGCATTTATAACATTTCAAGTTGTACAAATTAATATACTAAAACTATCTCACTCAAAATTAAAATGTCAAAAACATACAATTAAGATGTAAACTGAATCCTATTTTTTCCCCAGTCTCAACAATTATTGTATTGATTTCTATAATTTATTGTTTTATCAACACACTCAGTTTCTATTAATAAAAAAGGATGTTTTAAAACAAGCAGCTTTTGTAATAATTAACATAGAATTAAAGGAAATGTATTTGTCTTTATGGGCCTAGATAAATGCTGTAATAAATTATTGTTCCATGTTATGTCATAAATAATGCATGAACCTTAAAGAACTGAATAGGGATGTACAATAGCAATAATAAAATTTCAGACAATATGATAATTATTTTCATGTTATGGTTAATATTAAAAACCTATACTATTTTGTCTAAATAATTTGAAAACACTGAATACTAAAGTCTTTTTTTGATTTAAGCATCAACATTATAAAGTTCAGTATGACAACTGGATATTTAGCTTTTAAACAACGTTATTAAATTATTATGTTTTAAAAGATTAGCAAGCAATAAAATGAGCGCTAGATGGCGGTCTACCTGGAAAACTAGGCAAAATGTAAACTTTAATATCCAATAACAGCTGATAAATCTAAAAAATGAAAAAAAAAAATCTCTAACATCGCCAATAACAGATTTGGTGCCGACATATCAATGCATCATCCCTAGAATTAAACCATATTGTAAAGTGTTGCCTTAATGTTAGACAAACAATAGCAGATAAAAAAAAATTACACAAAAGGTTTAAAAATACACTTAGACAAAGGGGTCATATGATGCGATTTCAATTTTTCCTTTCTCTTTGGAGTGTTACAAGCTCTTGGTGCATAAAGAAGGTCTGTAAAGTTGCAAAGACTAAAGTCTCAAATCCAAAGAGATATTCTTTATAAAAGTTAAGAGTCAGTCACGCCTACCTAAAACGGCTCGTTCTAACACGCCCCCACATGTCTACGTCACGATGTGGGAAGATTTGCATAATGCCGCCCAAATGTTCAGGCAAAGAAAGAAGGCGTAACTTTTATTCTCGCTGTAATATTGTTGCCGCCGCCGCCATGTCGTGAAGACGCTGTGTGTTTCGTTATGAAAGTGAAACTACTTTGTTTGGCCTTCCAAAAGAGGACATGACTAGAAATCAGTGGTTAAGTTGTATTTACAACACTGTTCCAGAACAGTTCAACCCAAATATTCAGATGTGTGCAGCACATTTTATGGAGGACTGTTTCCTGATCCTGGTAACGTAGAGTAGACTACAATGCCGGCTGTTCTGACCCACAGACTGTAACATTTTTTTATATTTAAAGAATTTGTCACTGACGATTCAAACGCGAGTTTTTTGAGCAGTGTAGAGTAGGGCTTGTTCTGTCTTTTCAGTTTTATATTTGGTTTTGAGTGGTATGTCACACCTCATCGCCTAAATCCTGCACTCAGAACCAAATTTCTGAGCTTTGTATCTTATGATATAAACAGAGCGCTCTAAATATAAGCTGTTTTGAGGTTTTAGAAACTACAGCCCGTGATGATGATTGTTTTGTGTCCCAGTGAATGGGTTAATTGTACCTTTTGTCTCTTGCGGAGCGTCCAGTTCTTCCAGAGCAGCAGACGGATCTGCCTGCCTGTGTTCATGACTCCAACTCAACCCCGTGTAGGGGTCAACAAGCTGCAACAAACCTGCCAACACATCACATAGTTCACACTCACAATCAAACTGAAAGAAATCTCGCAGAGCTGGTGTACAGAAATTCAAGTGACAGATGAATGTCATTAGCATTGTAGAACTGTACACATCAGATTTCAGACAGCTAGTCTTCATTAATGAAAACAGCTGTTTTAGTGAAATGTTGCTTGGAGACTTTGTTTGTTAGTCATGTGAAATTGGGTCACAAATCTTTAAAGGAAAATATGGGCCTAGCATTGAACCACTGAACTATTTTGAGCCACGGCAATGACTACTACAGCAAGACCAAAACAGCACAGCAGTCACAGACAGAGCTGTTATTATGTCTGTTAGACGTCTAATTTTCCACAGTAATCTTTTAACACAAACACTGATTAAAGCTCTTTCAGTTCAGGTTCAGATACACATGTCTCATCTTACAGCGTCTCTTTTGACAGACATATTGCACAAACTCTTGATCTTGATAGTTAAATGAATGTCAAATAATTAAAAACATAACATTTAAATGACAGATTTAACATACATATTCTCCACAAAGGCCAACAACTTTAACCCTTCGTTAATGTACAGTACTGTTCAGTTTGGGGTCAGAAAGATTTGTTAATGTTTTTGAAAGTTTATTATTCTCAACAAAGCTGCATTTATTTGACCAAACATATAGTAAAAACACTGAAAAATATTACTATGTAAATTATCTGTTTTCTATTTTAATCTGCGTTAAAATGTAATTTATTCCTGTGATTGCAAAGCTGAATTTTCAGCAGTCATTACTTCAGTCTTCAGTGTCACATGATAGTTTCTAAATCATTCTAATAGATTTGCTACTATTACTATATTATTACTATAAACATCTACTATTATGTTGAAAACAGTTGTGCTACTTAATATTTTTGTGAAAGCCATTATTCATTTTTTAAATAAATAGAAAGTTCAAAAGAACAGCCTTTATTTGAAACTTTTAGTAACATAAATGTCTTTACTGTCACTTTTGATAAAATTACTGAATAGAAGTATTATTAAAAAATATCTTTTTGATTTGACCAAACAAATCATAATTTAAACTGGTAACATTTTAGATTACGAAACACATATTCACTTTACGTTTGTCAAACTTGTATAACTGAGAGTTTGCTTTCAGTAAACTCCTAATTTGCTGCTAATATATAGTTATGTTTAGGTATTGGGAAAGATTAAGGGATCTAGAATATGGTCGTTCAGAATAAGGCATTAAAATGTGTTTAACAAGTGTTAATAAACAGTTAATATCCCAGTATGCTAATAAGCAACTAGTTAATAGTGAATCGTGTTCCCTTAAAACAAATGGTACACTTACCTCAGTGCTGAAGAAATATGAGTTCCTTATCATTCACGAATAAAAGTACATAATTCCAGTCCATGATAGTCACTGAAACACAACAGCCAAACTTGCTACTTCTGACTGACTCAACTAATCCGATTGCCTTAATCTGCAGGGTTAACATGGCCATCAGCAAAGCCCTCCATTTTAACATGACTGCTGTTTATTTACATGTACATTTACATTTAGTCATTTAGCAGACGCTTTTATCCAAAGCGACTTACAAATGAGGACAACTGAAGCAATCAAAATCAACAATTTTTCTTTTAAGAGCAATGGTATGCAAGCGCTGTAACAGGTCTCAGTTAGCTTAACGTAGTACATGTAGCGAGGTTTATAT